TTGTACGCTTCTGGACGTACCACTGGAATCGTGCTTGATACTGGTGATGGTGTCACCCACACTGTCCCAATCTATGAGGTCCGTTTTGAGGGGTTTCTCCTCTGCTCTAAAAGCCAGCGTTAAACTTAAGGTTTCTAGGGTTACGCTCTGCCCCATGCTATCCAGCGTCTGGATCTGGCTGGTCGCGATCTCACCGACTACATGATGAAGATTCTTACTGAGCGAGGCTNCCAGCGATGTATGTGAACATTCAAGCCGTACTGTCCTTGTACGCTTCTGGACGTACCACTGGAATCGTGCTTGATACTGGTGATGGTGTCACCCACACTGTCCCAATCTATGAGGTCCGTTTGGAGATTTCGCCGCCACTATAAGAGCTAGCGTTAAGCTGAGAGCTTCTAGGGTTACGCTCTGCCCCATGCTATCCAGCGTCTGGATCTGGCTGGTCGCGATCTCACCGACTACATGATGAAGATTCTTACTGAGCGAGGCTATACTTTCACCACTACCGGTACGTTGCATCTTGAATTTGGCCGCCACAGAGAGCACTTGGGAGAGAGCAAACAGTCGTAACAGTTCACTCCGAGCTGGGTGACTGATAAGGCCTCGTCTATGTGATGACAGTTGCGTCATCTAGTACGTTGTATTGCAGCTGAACGAGAGATCGTTCGCGATATCAAGGAGAAGCTGTGCTATGTAGCACTCGACTTTGAACAAGAACTTGCCACTGCAGCCAGTTCATCGTCGCTGGAGAAGAGCTACGAGCTCCCTGATGGACAAGTAAGCCACTTCTCCCTCTAAAACTCCAGAAGCCAGCAGTCAGACCTCTCATATTTGGATCTTTTAGGTGATCACCATTGGCAATGAACGTTTCCGCTGCCCTGAGGTACTCTTCCAACCAGCCTTCATCGGTATGGAATCACTTGGAATCCATGAGACCACTTACCAATCGATAATGAAGTGCGATGTCGACATCAGAAAGGTATCACCGAGGGCAGACCAATTCTCTTGCTCATCTTGAGGCTGCTTTAGAATAATTTCGGAAAATTTAGGATCTCTACGCCAACACCGTTCTGTCCGGTGGCACATCAATGTTCCCAGGTATCGCTGACAGGATGCAAAAGGAAATCCAACACTTGGCACCGAGGTGGGTCTTCGTGGTCATAACACGAACCGCTTTTTCAGGTCCCTGGTGAACCTGTACCGTAATCCTTTATTAGTGGGTCACAGACTTGGCATTGGAGCATGTAACCATTTGTTTACCGTGCTATAAACATCCCTATTTGCCTTGGCGTCGTCTCCGTTTAAATGTCCTCCTCAGAAGGTTGAAGTGAGTCCACAGCAAGAGTGGTGCATGGAGCTGATCCTCCTGCAGAAATGAATTCTCTTAAAAGTAAAAAAAAAAACATAAAATCTCTCGAGACGAAATCTTCGA